AGAGGAGCCAAGGACCAAAGGCAAGAACATTACCACCTGATACACTAATTGAACCCTTTTCTGTTTTATATAATTCAGTATAGTTCTCATAGAATTCTAATTCTTCTTACGGACAACTCTTTTCTTGCCAGATAAGCTGTTAGATCCCTGAGGTCAGGAGAGTGTAACAAAATGCTCGTATATGCAAACATTGACTCAAAACAGGAGCTGGACATTGAGGGAACTATCTAAACTCTACCACCAAATGCAGCCAACCAGCAACACTGAATTAAATATTGCATATACAAATCAATTACTCTGTTTTGTTTTGTTGACAGAACTGCCTGAATCATTATCCAATTCTTACAGTAGCTGAGGCCAGTAATTCCTCATGGGGTAGGGGCGGGGCAAAAAGGGGGTTCAAAGAACAAGAGAATTTTCCTTGGAAGTTCTGGAATTCGGGTTCCCAAATGCAGTGAGCTAAGTGGGCAAAAACTGGCTTTCCAAGTCATGATGAATCGTCACATGTTTGGAAGTAAGAAGCCCCACAGGAGTAGAGCATTCTCCCTCTGTCACCTCATAGAGAGATGTGTCCTTCTGCGACTGATGCTGAAACAGCACTTTCAGCTACGCTCAGGATACAAACACAATTGTATTAACAAGGCCAGTTTCAGGTTCTGGTTCTGTTTGCTTGGGCAATCATTCCTGTTCTATTTGCATATAAAGAATTAAGATGTGTTATGCACCGCATGTGTCTCCCCTAAAATTCTTAAGCTATGCTAACCCCCACATGATGATATTTGGAGGTGGGGCCTTTGGGAGGTAATTTGGTATAAATGAGGTGAGTGGGGTGAAGTTTCCTCATGATGCGATTGTGTCCTTACAAGAAGAGACACCAGAGAGCTTGTTCTCTCGCATCTCCATACGAGGACACAACAAAAAGGCAACTGCTTACAAGCCAGAAAGAGTCCTCACCAAGGAACCAAACAGCCTGGCCTCCTGATCTTGGGCTTCTCAACTCTAGAACTGTGAGAGAATTTCTGTTGTTCAAGTCACCCAGTTAATGGTATTTTCTTGTGGCAGCCCAAGCACACTAATACAACATGTTCACCAGAGAGATCAAAAAATTTTGCAAAGCTAGGAAAATCAACTGTAAGGTATGAGAAAAAATGATGAGAATGTCTAACATGACACTTTTAAAATATTTGATCATTTAGAGTGAGTTACAAGGCTCTGTGGTGGTATGATTTCAAATTGTATTCCATTTAACTAGAGTTGATTTCATTTTAGAGGAACTTTAGTTTACTTGGTAATGCAACCTAGTTTTTAAGAAATTATTCTACAGCTCATTTGAAGAAATTTTGCATCTGATAGAGATAAAGACTTTTTTGATTAAAGCATATACAATGAGAGAGTTCAGTTTTGTGCCAAGAATATCATATGGTATTATACCTTCCCACTCTAAAAAAAAAATAAATGTTTCCAATTTGGAAGAACTTTTTGTAAATTCTTGAAATTTGAAAGTTGATTTTACATCCGGATTCTCAGTGGGGCACCTGGTACGTTTTCTGAAGCCTGTCTATGTTGGTGTATTGGTACAACCATTTCTTTAATAAATCTGCTCTGAAACGCAGAAGAGGCATTCTGTTTAAAGGCTGGTGAAAGGTGATTGCTAGCCTGGAAATAAAAGAGCTGAGTTTCACTTTCAAAAACAAGACCCTTCTCAGTTGGACTGAAATGCATTAAGCAGGATAGAGAGGCTATCTCTTATAATTGTCAGCAGATTGGCAATCTGACATATAATTCTGGCAAACCTGTACTTAATTGCTAAAATATGACTTCCTAGCAACTACAAGTATGTTCTGGCAATGTCAAGGTATCCCAAACCACATGACTTGACTTTTGCTTTAGAATTAAATTGAAGATTTATCCCAGGTTGAAGCTGTGCCTCGTGCATTCTGCAAGAACTCTATAGACTGCAGACAGGGAAGCGGGATATCGTTAAAGCAGTGCAGTGCCCCAGGGGTCAGTGTCAGATACAATCTAATTTAACATCTTTATTAAGGATCTCGAAGAGGGAGTAAGCCACATATTAATGAAATGTGCAAATGATATTAAACTGGGAGCCTGTATAACCACCAGTAAGGACAAAGAAATAATGGAAATGCACCAAAAGAGGTTAAAACAATGAACAGAAAATTATTGCAGGAAAATCACCTTCTTGGGATTGATAGTTTTGAAGATAGCACTGGGAGTCAGAAATCTCAAAGTCTGGGGGCTGCATCCAATTGGGAATTAAGAGGAAGAAAGAAAGAGGGCAACCTTTAGCCACATTCTAATTTAGACACCAATGTAAACACTTCCCATTACATTATGTAAATTTATACGGTCTTTAAAATCAGAATGATCACCAACTCTAAAATTTAGATAGATACAAGCTAACTCAAAGGTAATAGCTTAACTAAATATGACGCAGGTAAATAGTAAAAATGAGTGATGCATGAACAATATCAACATGCAGAATATATGAAATAGCATGGAGTGAAGAAAAGGCAGAAAATAAGATACGTGCACAATGATAAAATACAAGGTAACACAGCATAAAATATATGTATGCTCATTAAACAAGCTCTAAAGGGCTCTACCCAGAAACCACTTTTCCAATACACTCTAATTTGGAAAAACAAATAAATGTATCTTTTATTTAAAAAAAACAATTTAGAAGCCTGAATTTTTCTCTATTTTAACCTCTATTTCTCCATGCTTTTCCATTCACCATCCAAACAACAGTTGAGAAAACTCTAAAAATGACACTGTCAAAGCTGTTACAAAAATAGGATGCTCTTGAGGCAGTGCCCGACAACCTGTCAGTCTGTAGGTAGGAATTCCCTGACCACCTACAACTTCTGGAAATCATTCTCTCTGTCTTTTCCGCCTTTACTTCTACTTCCATGCCAACAACTTTGATCACTTTTAGTAACCCAGTCATTTGGACAACAGATTTTTGAAAAGCAAACATCTTGAAACCATGATTTGCACTTCAGGGCTTCTGCCCTTTTCTCATCCCTTAAAATTCCTCATGGGGCTGCTCTTGCTTGAGCTGCACACAGTGGCATACACATGGCCTGGAGCTGGAAAGGGAATGGTAACATAGCCACGGTGTCCTTCAAATATTTGATTCCATCACTTTATCTTTGGTGCCTACTCAATAAAAGGTAGCTTCTACTGGTCTTCTAATTCCTTCTACAATCCCTTGCCTGCTTTTGGGATCCAGGAGAGGCGGTAAAGAAGGAAAATTCCCTGGTGTCCCAGATATACCAAAAGGGAACCCATTGACTTAGCACAGAACCCACAAAAGTGGCTCCTTCTAACCAGGAAGACATTGGTAGCAAACTACCTAAAATGAAGATGTAGGTAAGGCCAAAGAATTCAAGTTGCTGAGGTTCTAAAGTGGTAGAAAAAACTTTTATTTTTCTGCATACAAGGAATCCACCCCATATCACATAACTATGGGGTTTATTGCATCTGTATCAAAATGATTCAGCTGTATCAGTGGGTGACCAGAAAGTCATGGGACCAGAAGGTCAAGGTCAAGGGAAGGGCAACGGTACATGAGAGAAGATTATAAACACCAACTAAAGTTTGCAGCTAACAGGGGTGGACATGTTGAAAACCTTCAATGGATATTCCTGCCAATGAGGAAGATAAATTATTTTAATATGCTAGAAGGAATTATTAGAAATGTAGGAAAAAATTCAAAACAGAAACAAGTAGACTAAATCTTAAGAATTTTAGTATATGCTAGCATTTTCATGGACCTAGGGTACCTAGACGTGAATTTAACATAGAAGCACATACTGAAAGTTTTTTTGTGTTTTGTTTTGGTATCATTAATCTATAATTACATGAGGAACATTATGTTTGAGGTGAATTTAACATAGAAGCACATACTGAAAGATTTTTTGTGGTTTTTTTTTGGTATCATTAATCTATAATTACATGAGGAACATTATGGTTACTAGACTCCCCTCATCACCAAGTCCCCCCCGAACGTACCCCATTACAGTCACTGTCCATCAGCGTAGTAAGATGCTATAGAATCATTACTTATCTTCTCTGTGTTGTACAGCCTGAAAGTTTTTGAATGATTCCTAAATTACAATGAGTTTGCTACCCTACATGACGTGTAAGGTTTCCTTTACCTGAGCTCATTTACAAAGTAGATTCATGTGACCTACTTGCTGTGTCAAGCACGAAGGAATTCCACACCACTCCAACTGAAGTTGGAAAATATTTCCAAGAAATCATTCAGTTTTCTTAGATATTTTAGCTTCTGTTGATGTATAAACTGTAAAACACATCAGAAGTTCCACTACAGAGATTTTTTGACTATTTCCAACTATGATAAAAGAGGATTTTTTTTTCCTTAGAGAAAAATAAATTCAGCTTACCTGTCTATGCCTTCTTCCAGGTGTATTTAAAGTACAATTTATTTATGTCACAATGTACAGAAAGATGTTTAGCACCTGCTCTGTATCAGCCAATTGTCTAGGTTGTGAGAATATGGAAATAAATCAGACCTAGTCTCTACTTTTAAAAGTGTCACCATCAGATAAGAGATATTAACCAATAAAGCTTTATATTGTAGGTTTATATTGAAGCAATAGAATTAATAATACCCATGGAATTAGGAATACCACAAATAATAAATTACTGGGTTTTCAAATATTAAGATACAAGTTTACTAAATGTTGTATGTGATTTTTTTCAAAAAAGAAATACTAACTTTCAAAGATCATTAGAAAAGCCTATGGCAAACGTTATATCATTCATTGATATTTAGTTCCCCTCCTCTGGACACATGGAAGGATTGTAATTGCCATCCCCTTGGACTTAGGCATGACTGTATGACTTGCTTTGACCAATGAAATATAAGTGGAACTGAGGACTGTAAGTTCTCAGTGGCAGCTTTGGTCATCACTTGAATTTTCTCTCTTGCTCTGTTTTGACCATCACTGAAGTGCTGTTGATAGAAAATGAAATTCAGAGCCATCACCTGAAGCATAGCAAGCTAAAAGAGTCACCTAGATCTGCAATGAACTTCGCGTGAGTCAAAATTAAACCTTTGTTGTTAAAGTCACGGATATGTAGATATATATATTACTGCAGCATAACTTGGCCTAACCTAACTGATACACTAATTAAACCTAAGGATAAGAATGACAATAAAGCAAATGTTGCTCAAAAGTTAGATTAATTCTAAATTAGCTAATTGCCAACCAGTAAAGAAGAATTTATTCCATGTCCACAAGGTACAGAATAGTTTAACCAGTCATGTATCAGCCTTTTAATTTTGTAGAATATTTTGAATCTATGACTTTTCCCAGCCCCCTACTGTCCATGAACAGTGACAATAAAGGGATCTGGCACAGAGCCAGTGATTGCCAAGTCCGCCGTCCTCTCCCATCCCACAGGAGGCCTGGGTGTCTGCATCCATATAGACCTGAAAAAGCATTCTAAGAACCTCTAATGAAGGCAAAACAGCTTTTACTATTTTCATTGTCAGACACTTCAAAGAGATTTTGACAAGAAAAAAAATACAAGTGATCAGGAAATCGTTCTTAAAATTGACTATATGGTTATAATGATGGGTAAAAATAAAAATAAATATGTCTAATCACAGAATAGTTTATCATGTGAAATAAAAATGAACACTCTTTTGCATTGAAGATCATTCTCTTGTGGCTAATTTCGAGAGATACTTAACAAGTAGTATAACAAAGGCTTTCTTTCTATTATAATAAGTAATTGATGTAGACTTAAGCATTTTGCCTGATGGATTTCAGAGCTGAAGAGTGACAGTCACTCACTGTACCATCATTGAAAGGCTGCATTCTAGATGAATTGTTTTTGTTTTTTTTTTAAAGACATTGGATGCTTCTTGAAATGAGAAAACATCCTAGTCATGAAAAAGCATTGTTACAGCTGTTTTCTTGAAGTACCATGTGCAGGATCTCAAAACAACATTGGAACTCTGGCTGATAAAGCCATTAAGAATGACCTAGTAATTGGTCCAGACTTTGAGTCAGGAATCTATATTCCTGGTCTCTGGACACAGGTCTCTTTTGCATCCAAACCTAATACTCAGCCATCAGAGCTAATTTTCTAAATACAAAGCTGACCTCATTCCTTCTACTTGAACAACCTCCAAAACTTCTCCACTTCCTTTTGCAGAAAGTTCACATTTCTGAGCCCACTCCTCTGTCCAAACTACCCTTTGCTCCCACCATGCCATGTAGGTCTCACTCCCCAGATTTCTCATGCTCTTCCATTGTCTTACCTAAGACATGTTTCTTCAATTTCATTTCCTCCACCAGTGAACTGCATCATATGTTTGCTATATTTTACTGTAATTATTTAGTTTCTTGTCCAAGTGGGCTAATCCAACTTCTCTAATGGCAAAGAATTTGTTTTTCTTTAACCTTGAATCATGGCCTCCCCTTTTAAATAGTTCAAGTGTCTGGCATACAATTGCGGTAACTATTTTATGAATGCATAAATGAATGAATGAATGAATTAGACCTGAATTCGGTTAATGATTTTACCAATAACCTGTTGCATGACCTTAGTCAGGTCATTTTATTTCTCTGTGCCCCAGATTCCTGATACGAGAAGGGGGCATAATTGCTACGTGCCATAGGATTCATGAAATAATTTAGTAAAGCAGTTTGAGCTCCCTGAAAGAAAGGCAGTATGTAAGAACAAAGTGTCATAATTGTTATGTAGCACCTTTCATCTGAGAATCTAAAAGCACTTTACAAAACATAAACTCATTAATCTTCCCAAGGTTCCTGCCAGAGAATTCCAGTATCTCCATTTTAGAAAAGGGGGAAAATGCAGACAGCCAAAGGTTAAACGCCCAGCTCAGGATGCCATCTTGTTGAGTGCCAAGTCCAAGGGCAGGTTTCAGGAATCCTAGCAGACAGTCAGCGCTCCAGGTGCTTGCTGTGACTTCCCCCTTTTTCCTTATACGGAGAAAGGTATTGAACAGCCTGGGCTGGGTGGCAAAAATCCAGCTGGAATGAAAGCCCAGGTTAATATCTTCCATAGAAGAAGGGGTGGGGTAGGGCGATAAGGTGATGAACACAACCCTGCCGTCAACTGTAACAGTAAGAAGAAAATGTAAGCAACGCCTGCAATCAATCGCTCAACCTCCAATGGCGTTGGCTCAAATCTTTCCATCAGGCCTCTTTTAACTTGACACCTTTCTGGGATGTCTGTCTCTCAGCCAGAAAATGTCTCATCACCTTTGAATACAAAGGTAGCAGTTTAGCAACTAAAGAAATAATCCTAAAATACTGCATTCAGAGGAGCTTTCCTCTCCTAATACTGTTTTTCCTGCAGAATCCCATGAACGTCAGCTGAGACAGGTGGCATTAATCCGCCTTCTAAAAGGCAACGGGAGAATATCAGCTATTCTTCATCCTTGGGGGTGTGGGGGGGAGCCATAGTTTGCATAAAGATATGTTTACATCAGGGACATCTAGCAAAGTGGAGCCATTTCTATTCATAGCTCACCAGAGAGGCAACATGTGTGCTTTTCTCACAAATGTTCAGCTCACACTTCCTGGAGGCTGTGGTCAAGAGTACTAGCTCCGTAAGGTGGGCAACTTTGCTACAAACCCACACTGCATGTGTGTCTCAACAGCCTGGAAATAACAGGATCGTGTCTGAGCCCAGGTTTATTAGACTATCATCATTCCAATAATGATTCTCCCCAAGCACCCATTTCTGGGGAAAACATGACATTCCGTCTTGATTTTCAATCCAGAAGAGCGTAACGAGTTCACTATGATAAACTGCATGCTGACACTGTGTCTGGAACCCTATCATATCCTCATGGAAGGTCTCTCAACTTCCTAGATACTATGGCGCTTCTCTCCAGTCCATTAGCAAGCCCACTCCTCTGAGGTTAATTCTTCGCTATTTGTGCCACTGTAACAGATTTGAAACTCCCAGCCTGTGCTTCTTGAACACAGTCTTACTCATCTTTCTAACTTCCTGTCGCTTCCTTGGAAGCCACCTGTAGTGGCAGAAAGAGAATGAATTTTAGAGCCAAACCAATCTGGCAGTTAATCCCAGTGCCTGCCACTTCCTAGTTATGTGACCTTGGGTGAGCTTCTGAATCTCTCTGAGCCTTCTTTTAGGGATGGCCAAGTAAGAATGAAAGTTGTTTGAAAGGTCCTGAGCATACACAGTAGTTCCCGCAAAGAGGGGTCCCCAGACCAACAGGTCCTCCAAGTACTGAGCAGAAGATGGAGTCTAAATTCATACAATACACACCAGAAGGTGGGATACAGCCAGCATGCTAAGAAAGTCATTCCAAAGAAAGTCCCAGAAACGGAAATCAGACCTAGGCAAGGCATTGGCAAGGGGAATCCAACAGATGGAACCAAGCAGGGGCTGGTGCGGGCGGAAGGGGAGGTAGAACAGACCAAGATCAAGGCCTAAACTGGCAGATATGTAACTTCCACAAAGATCTGAAAAGTACAGGCCAGAAAATCACCACAGGGACAAGAGTTTCACGATCCTAGTCCCTGTAGAAAACTCAGATAAGGAGGAGTCAAGAAATTAGGATGTGGGATTAAGAATAAACCAGGACATAAACCAGAATCTCTGAGCCAGGGGAGTCCAGGCAATCTGACATAGAAAGCAAATAAAAGACCACCTCTGCAGAGCTCACTTTACAAGCCCACCTCCCCACCAGCTACCTCTCAACTACGCATCAGCTTCCGTGGTTCTGAGCCCTCTTAGATTTGCATTTTGCTTCTCCTCTACCATCTTGTCTTGTGTGGACAAGACTTGGACTGTACATGCACATGCAGGGCTCAGAACGATGCTTCAGCCTTCCAAGTTGGGGGGTGAAGAGGCTCACACCTCCGCCTCAGGCCAGCCAGGGCGGGGCTGACTGTGCACTTCAGTGCTGGAGGAGACTTCTCATCTCAAGCAGAGAGGTTTCTGCTACATGTGCAACAAGGGCAGAGCCCTTCACTCAAAGATCAGGTGGGGCAAGACTTGAGTGGAGTCTGTGAGAACCGGAGTCCCTTTCCATGAAGGTAAACAATGTATCTCCAGGGTTCTCCTGCACATAGACAGAGCAAATCATAAGTGCCTGAAAAAAGCAGAAGTGACTCTATCAGCTTGAGGACATTAAATTGGCTTCAAAATCTAACGGTCACACCCACTTTCTAGCCACTGAGAAGAAATGGGGGCTCCGATGTTGAGTTCAATTAGAGAGAAGGAAAAGAAAAATACAGGCAGTGGATGTTAGAGTCAACTCCACTATCTGGATCTTCCCCACCAGGTCCAGCACATGGTGCATAATTAAATATTTACAGAGCTAAAGAATACATCTTTGATTTTTAGATCCAGCTCTTATTTCTCTGAAGTATTTTGTTACCTGTGAGGTCTTGCTTCCTAGGTAGTTTTTTTTTCCCTTCCACTATTTAGACTTCTAAGCACCACTTGCCTTTCCAAGCAGAAAGTACCTGTTAGCCAGTAAGCCAGTACTATAACCCAGTCAGCATGGTGCAAGCATGTACTTAAAGGGTGGATCTGTATGGGGGCACCTCATTTCTCAACACAGAAATTAGAACTACCCCACGTGCAGCAGGTCAAATGTATCCTAGGGAAGTTTGCCAACAAAGAGTGGTAACAATTTATCCACCCTTCAGGAAGAGCCAGGTACTGTGCCAAGCCCTTCACAGACTCTAATCTTCACACAACAATCGGAAAGACCATATAATCCCCCCTTTTCAGTAGAGAGGTTAATCCCGCAATGAATAAATTGGCAGAGCTGGGTTCTCAACACAGGTCTGCCGGCCCTGCGAGGGGGCTCTTCCCACCCCACCACTCACCTGCCGGGGGAGTATCTGCAATTCTCTTGGCCCCCCTTTGGTGTGCACCTTGGGGGGATCCTTGCCAATGCCCCCCAAAGTCTCAAAAGGTTCGTTTCCAACTCAGGCTCAGCAGAAGACACGGTCTCCATTGTAGTTTATAGACACTAAAGAGAGGAATTAAAAGTCTGCCTACCAGGAAGCACCAGA